CAGCTTCAGACGAGGGAAACCACGCAGGCGGCCGAATAGGTGACACATCGTCACCAGCACCATCACCGCAGCTGACATAAGGAGGGTCTGATGGATGCCGCGCGTGAGTGTCGCTGCTGCTGCTGGCCGCGAACACATCAAGAGGCCGGCTCTGCGCGCCGTCTTGCAGGACGCCTTCACGCGCCACCAGCAGCTCCGCCAGTGCACTCACGTAAGGCTCCATGGCGGCATCAGGGAGGTCACCACACGACGGCGAGGCCCACAGACGAGCCAACGCCGAGAGGAAAGGAACTGCATACACAGACATGATTCAACAGACACGCGTCATGTGTTGGCCTCTTGGTGTGGTGTGGGTGGGATACCTGTGGCTGCCCGCGTGACGCCAAGGCACTGGTCGCCGAGGGAAAGGCCGCGACGGAGCGACGTGAGAACAGGGCGGGCTTCGGCGGGCTCTCCTTCCGCGTACAGGTGTGCCTCGGCGTCGATCGTGAGCGCGTTGAAGACCGTCAAGCTCAGCTCGCGAAGCAGCTGTGGCGCACAAACGACGACGCACCATCACAAGAGCAGACAAGGCGGCACGTGTGTTCAGCCAGCCGACATACGTACCTCGTTTGTGCCGAGGGACAGCTGGATGTCCTCCAGGTACCGCCACACACTCCCACACAGACACTCCAGCGCCTCTCGCAGAGCCGCCCTCCTCCCCTGGTCGGTCTCGTCGCCCACACGGCTGAAGAGAATCGGCAGTGCCAGCCATCTCACCGCTCGCAATAGGACACTTGCCGCACCAGCCTCACAAGCGTCCAGACGGTCCATGAGCGACCGCGCAAAGCACTCGGTTGCCGTGAGAGGGGAGGAGGGGGCTGTTGGGGGAAGGGGAAAGGACGGCAGCAGCGTCATCAGGAGGGGGGTGCTTGTGTTGGCTGCTGGCGGGTTGGATCGGTCGCCCATGGCTGCGAGTCTTGCTATGGCGAGGTACTGAGAGACGAAGAAATGGTCCCGGACATCTCGCCAAGTGCGCCATGGCCCGCCCCCCTGCACAGGTAGATAGCCAGGCAGCTCCTTCAACGATGTCGGCAGTATATAATTCTGGCGGCGACCTACCTCTCTGATTCGCGTGGATGATTCGCGGCTCTCCCTCGCTGAGACACATGACAACCAGGAAGACAGCTGCCATCAGGCGCCGCTCGTTCCATCTTGCCTGCCTGCCTGCCCACCTACTTTTAAGTACCTGTGGTCACCCCCTCGGCACCCTGCAGCACTTGCAGCACCGATGACGACTCTCCTTCACCGCTATGCTCCTCTCCCCCCTGCTGTATCAGCAGCCGGATGTCTTTGCCCTCAGCGCGCGACATGGCTGGCCGCGGTGGCGATGCAGCCGAGATGGAGACGAAGACAGAGGGGAGGAGGGGGGAGGAGGGGCTACAGGTGGGGGTCAGGGCGGCGATGAGACCTGACGGAAGACATCTTAATCGCTTTGGTGTCGGGTTTGTGAGCGAGTGGATGAGGGGGTTGGCTGACCGGAGGCAAATGACGCCAGGATGGCCGTATCTGGAACAAGGGAAAGAAATATAGTGTGCATCCACGCGTGTGTGCATTGCGATCCCGTCATACCGATGCTGGCTGGTGCATCGGGTGAACACGCAGAACTGAGCAGCCGGTGAGCCGTAGCCAGCAGCTCCTCAGCACTGTTACAGACGCGCCCCTGGTAAGGTCGGCTCGGCTCCATGTGTCCATGCAGCTTACCCACCGTGGCAGCTGTGTGTGGAGTCGTGTTGCGAGCGCATCAACGACCCATATCAACAGATACCCACACTCACACAAATCCACACACACGCGACCACACTCTGACATAGGGAACGAAGGGAGGGAAGGCACAAACAGACAGACAGACAGACCGACCTGTGTGTACGCCTTTGGTGGTTTCCATGGGCGTACACCTGGCATGTACCTGTGTTTTGTTGCTGGCTCGAGCCGCATGCGGCCAGGCACTCCTCCGCCTTCATCGCCACATACGACATCACCTCGACAGCCACACGCTTAACGAACACACACACGCACACACACACACACACACACGTGCCTTCTTCTCGCGGAGAAGCCGAAGGGTCGTCTATCTACCTGGAGTGCCGCCGCATCAGCCGCCATGAATGTGGGCATGTGTGTGAGCAGGTAGGAGAAGATGTACAGGCGGCACCGGACGGCGGCAGCGGGGAGATACGAGTGGCTGTACACCTGAGCGAGCAGAGGAGATGGGATGGATAAGCGAGATACGACACAGGCAGCTGGTGTACCTACCTGGAGAACGGACGTCTCCAGGGCAGGGAGTGATTGCTGCAAGAGGGGGGGGGGGGGT